ATCACATTGGGAGCTCAAGGCCTTTAACACCCACATGACCCCCTGGATACTGTTTAACACCCACATGGCCCCCTGGATACTGCTTTTTTTTTAGCTGCACAGGGCCTATTTTCTTTCTCAAAGACCACCTGGGTACCACGGAGCACCTCAGTTGCTTTCAAAAGGGGTTCAGTTTTACACACTTCTTACACTATGCTAGGAAGTCCCCGCCTGCGTGAAAATGTGCCGAAAGGCTGGCGTTCTGGATCGGTCAGTAAAATCCGAGTACAGTCAGATAGCTCTCTTGCTATGCCCCCTCCCCCCCCCCAGAAAAGCTTATAGATCAACATTGACGATCAAATTCTATTCTGCATCGCCCGGACTTGTTGCTGTTTAAAACGGAGCTGTCCGTTATTAAGGCATTAAGCAAAACCTTAGCACATTCGGTGCAGAAAACGTATTGAAGTGAGGCTCAAAAGCGCAGTGCGTGCTCAAATTCAGTCACGAATTTATATGCGGCTTTGGTTGAGCGAGATTAAACAACATCTTCAGGCTATGGTTCAGATATGAACAGACGCATGCGTTCAACAAAGCTATCAATTTTGTGCCTTCGTTGCGTACAAGCCAACAAACAAACTGTTGGGCTTCTGTGTGGTCATAGATACGACTAGGATCGGCGATAGATGGTGTGTGTTGTATTCGCGAAAGCACGCCATTTCATTGTTCAAACGGCAGGAACTCATTAAGCCTGAGCGCAGGATTTTTGGCACCTTCCGTTCGTCAAAGCATGTAACGCTCTTCTAAAATTGGGCTGCAGCCGCACATGATTTTTTTTGCCCAGTATAACAGGAATATGAAACAAGCGGTATTTGTTTTCCTCAAACAGTTCTGTGATCTCGTCTTTCCGTGATCCCGATGCATCCTTCTTCCAGCACGCCCTCACTACTTCTTGCCCAGCATTTGCGCAGTCGCCTTCACCTCAACCAGAGCCCAACCCGGAACCCAATGTATTGCTTCTTCCTTTCCAGGCAGCCTGGAAACCCAATTTAAATCTGCATATACCGATTGCTGTGACGTGTCAAAAGGCGCCCACCAGACAACGTATGTTGTGCCAAGCTTGGAGCATGCCTGAGGTGTGACGGAGAGTTGGCCTTGAGGAGGCCCGCATGTCCGACGACATCCCCCCAGTACTACCTGCCACCGGTTGAAATTCCGCCCTACCCAGCTGTACCCAGCTGCCCTAGCTTTCGAGGTCCTCCTCCACTTTTCCGCAGTCGAGGATGGCAAATCCTGACGCAGACAAAGCTTGACCGCGGGGCCACAGCGAGATCCGAGGGTGGAAGAAGACTGCATTCGTGATTGAGCTATTGCATTGTGTTGGTCTGGTGTGCCTGCATTCTTCACAGCAACAGTTAGCCTGGCATTGGTTGAATAACATTGCAAAAATGAACGTTTGGGTTGTGTGCATGATATTGCAAGTTGCGGTGATAAAGGCTTCCGATGATCGCCGATTTCTCATTACATTGCTGGGCATGGAAGTCATTATCACTTGTTGTCATATAGTGCCGCGTTACGCTGCTGGCGACAATTTTGTCCGCGGAAAGTCGGTCGGTCGACAAAACATACACTCTGACCACCCCTTCATATGACTGAAACATTGCTGAGCTACAAACACGCACTGCAATAACAGCCTTCTCCATTGGATACACAGCAGCGCCAGTAGCGCCCCAACGATGACTGGCTAAGCTTGCTTGTGTACAGCAATGAGGCTTCGAATCTTACTGGTAAGAGTTTTCCAGTGCTGGATTCATTTCATACTCCAAATCAATTTCCCGTGAGCACGGGTATCGATGTGTATCATTCTGGTGGGCCACTGCCTTCCGCCGCCCCGTCACAAAGTTCAATTTGACCCCCCTCCCACGGCGAGTTTAGCCTCCCAACCTTCTGGAGCTTAAGGGCGCGTTCGGCTGGGGGAAAATTTTGCGTTCGAATAACTTTCCGTCGCAGAATTCTCCATCGGAGAATTCGCGGTCCTGATTCTCCTCTTGCGTCCGGCAGGCCAAAAATTATCGCCGGGTTTGTGTGCAACGACGTAATTGGAAACCTTCGCTGAGGAGTCTACCAAGGCCGTTCAACAAAGCTGATCTCATCCTATATATAATTATATTATAGAACCTTACGTATTTGCTGAGTTGGTAGTGAGGAAGGTTTTCATTGCATGCATGCATGAGCTCTATATGCCAGGTGTTGCGACTGATCACAACTAAAATTTGTCGGTGCAGAAAGCATTTTTTTAGTTTTCTTCAGGTGCTCAATTCTGTGTGTGTGTGTGTGTGTGTGTGTGTGTGTGTGTGTGTGTGTGTGTGTGTGTGTGTGGTGTGTGTGTGTGTGTGTGTGTGTGTGTGTGTGTGTGTGTGTGTGTGTGTGTGTGTGTGTGTGTGTGTGTGTGTGTGTGTGTGTGTGTGTGTGTGTGTGTGTGTGTGTGTGTGTGTGCGTGTGTTTATGGGCTTTTATTTCTTACCAGTTGCCAGTTAATCACATGCATATTAATGCACGTACAAATCTGATATGTGGAAGTATATGCCCTCTGCCCCACGAAATACATCCATGAGGACCACATTAATATACATGAATCTAGTTTTAGCATGATCTATACAAGTCACACATTGACATGCAGGGACTAATGGACTGTGGCTGGTCATCAAGAAGGATATTTTGTTTGCCACCAAGATAGCAAACATATCGTAAACATCATGCAATTCCCACTCAGTGCTCCTTGCCCCCATTGACAGCTGGAAATAAGGGTATTCTTCTTGTCACAGGAAGTCCTCAACACCTACAAGGTGGAGACTATGAATGAAGATGAATATGTCATGGATATGTTGTCTGAAGATGACTCAGATGCTGATGATTACGGTGATATGTTGCGAGTAATTTTTGACATAGCAGCAGCTGAGTAGAGAAACAGGTATTCACTTGTAACCAGGGTGCTGATGTATGAACAGTTTGCGTGATGCCTGTGAGGAGAAGCAAATGGATATTGGGGGAAAGTTTTAGTGTGGTGAAGATGCCTCGGCACGCAACACTCACCAGCAGTGCTTGCTGCCGCACTTTTGCGGAGTGTCACTCTGACCCATGCATTGCCTCAAACTCCACCCGTGTGTATAGTGGTGCCATGGCCGTGATAAAGGTTATGTTTGATGGTGTGTTCACGTGATAATTTGCGCAGCCTGGTTTGCAATCAGCCACATTTTGCTTCAAATGTGCTCTGAACCATGCTTAGAGATTGTCGTCTTGAACAGGCTTCTGCTTTAAGGCAGCACCAGAAGCAAGAAGGGTATGTGGAAGATGTGCCACGATGCACACCAGACATCTTCATCAGTCACTTTCAGCTGTCAAGGGGAAGGTGTGGAGATTTGGTCAATGCCTTTGCAACTCGGATGTATTCCAATTCTAACCTGCCTCCTGACCACCAAATTCTACTCCACTTGTGTGTTCCGAGCAGCCAGGATTAATACAGAGAGTGGCGGACCGATTCAACGTCGCAAAGTCCACTGCTTCGGGTATCTTCACCCGTTTCTGTGAATCTTCTACAAGAAGGGCGAATGAGTTTATTGTTTGGCCAGCTGACATCAGCCGAGTGAAGTCTAGATTTCAGGAGATGGCTGGGCTCTCTGACGTCGTCGAATGCGTGGACAGCACCCACATCCCGATCCCCATGCCGACGGAGCAAGGCGAGAAATATGCTAATCGAAAGGGATTCTCTTCTATGGTACTCCCGGCGGTGCGCGACCATCGCATGAACATGATGTATGTGGATGCTGGCTGACCGGGATCAGTCCACGACGCACGCGTGTATCGGCCTGGCTTGGACCAAACACTGGCCGAAATTGAAGGCCGGCTTCTGACTGGCGGTCATGTGCTGGGGGATCCGGCATTTCCCGCATCCACAGCATGCATGGCGCCCTTCAAAGACAATGGGTACCTGTCGCGTGACCAAAAGCGCTTAACACCAAACTCTCGTCAACGCGTATGACCATAGAACGCGTGTTTGGCCTTCTGAAGGGAAAATTCCGCCGGCTGAAGATGCTGGACATGAGCCGTGTCGATCTCGTGCCCAGTGTCATCACCGAAGCCTGTGTGCTCCATAGCATCGCCATTAAAGAAGAGGTGGATGGCGGAGAGCCCGAACTGAAGTCACTGACGGAGGACCTGGGTCTGTTAGCGGCGTGGCCAAGCGCAATGCCATCATGCCGCAGCTTGAATAGTACCAAGCAGTGCGCGCAGTCCATTGTATTGCCGTGTTGTGAGTCTGCCAACGTTTCAGATACGTGATCGTGAGGAGGCGGCCCAGCCTCATGGAAGACACTGTCACTTGCTGCTGTCCTCGCGCGCGGTACAAATCCGAGGTGTGTGTCCCAGACCGACGCATCATATTGTCCGTCATTGACAGCGCCTTGTACATGTCTACTTGTTTATATCCCTTGCGTGATGAGTTCGTCATAAAAACGCACACGAGAATGCAATATCTGTATTTAATGGCTTTCCTGTGTCACATGATTGGGATGCACACCCGACAACGTCAGCACCTCAAGCACAACACAGCTATGCATACATACGCGCTGCAAATACTCAAATAGAATGGATAGGAGCACATACACGCATTGACGTAGTACATGGCAAGTTCACGAAACTTGAGATCTGGATTAACTTTTGTGATACCGATCGTTTACTTGTGAGCTAGAAACTTACTACAGAGTTCAAGCTTTTAAAGACGGTATTCGTCTCTTTTTTTGACCCTGTTCTCTCATCAAGTTTACCACGTCTGAGGACGCGGGCGACAGTCGGCTGCGAGTCGCCAGAGTCGCTCCTCCTCCTCTTGCTAGGATTGCCGCCCGGGGACAGACATTCATCGTAAGCAGGCATCCGCAGACGACTGCACGAAGGACGACGGTTGTATAGCATTATCTTTTACAGGGCTGATCGTGACTCCGTGCCGCCACCTGTTGCTTTACGCTCACATCCGTCGTCAGCACCGAGTCCATGTCTTCAAACCATTGCCAACGTACTGCGCCCGCGCCGCTGCGGCTTTTACTGTGCTTAATTTCCTTGTACCGTTTGACTAGTGAGTACCACTTTCTGCGCAGCTCGGACCACGCGACGTTGCAGCCATGCTGAGCAAAAATATTTTTGAAGACTTCCCACTTAATTTTCACGTATTTTTGGCTTCAGGTACCTAGCTTTTCCGTTCCAACGTCATACTATAGCTTGATATCAGCAGCCGTGTTTGTCTTTCACCTCAAACGAACACGCCGGCCACCGACGCCGTTGGAGCAGCACTTGACACCGCATGTGAGACCTCTGGCGTTGCGGGAGGGGCCACCCGTGCTGCGGGAGAGGACGTCCGCGCTGCTGGTAGGGCTGCCAGGTCTGCCGGAGGGTCTGGAGGAACTGCTGATGCTGCAGAAGGGGCCACACATAATGCAGGAGCAGCCTGCGATGTTGCTCGAGCAGCAGCTGGCGCTGCAGTAGTGTCATCCTCCTGAACGCAGAAGCCTGTTGCCTGCTTCAGAGATTGATATTGCATTCTGCAGGAACCACACTGGAAGCAGTCCCGTGCACGACACACCCTGGAAGGAGCAGAAACATAGATGGATTAATCTGTGTATACCAATGGTGATGTGGCGGTGACACCAGCATTAATATGGACAGCATTCCCTGCATTGGTAGCTGTTTTTCTGCGGTAGATTTTCCGCTGGATGCGAATTTGGCGAGGTCGAGCTAGGCTGGGGTGTTCCGGTCCAGGACAGGGTTGTTCATTGTGTGTACAAAGCCCACACATTGAGGACACCATGGGTCATCGAGGTGACGTGTTGGTGTTATGCTACTGGTTGGGTGATTTACAGGTGACTAGTGTAAAACATAGGGCCTGTTCACTCCAAGACAACTCGTGTTTTAACTGCAATGTCACTGCTAAAGCATCCCCATTTTCTACATGCAGTTAAAACTTGTGAGCAATTAGCAAAATTGCCTTTAAATTGTGTTGTCATGAACTATATAATTGAGGTCCCACGTTACAATCATGCTCTCACTTGTTTACCATACAGGAGATCAGAGCATCAACAGATTCCATCCAGACACAAGAGAGAAGCAGAGTGTTCTTACCTTTAAACACAGGGCTAATCCGTCTTCATATCATATTTGAAACTCCTCGATATTCCAACACTTTCATGCGAACTTAAACTTTAAGCATTTTTCAAGGAAACGAATCACGCGTTATTCCACGTGCTGAGAGAGATAATTAATTTTTAGGATCGTGTAGTGCATGCCAAGGAGCCTCGGCACTCCAATACACCCAACACACAACCCAATAAACCCAACACTTAAAGTAGCTGAAGCCAAAAAATAATTCGGAACTCTTTCTTCCAAATCATAGTTTCAGCCTCTCCTATCACGCTTTAAAAAGTTATGCTGCTAACAGAAAGTTTATCCGTGGGATGTGGCAGCTTATATGAACTCTGCGGAATTTTGAATGGGAGAATTGATGAATGCAACTATTACATTCCCATAGGGAACATCCTTCAACAAATTGTTTTAGGCAGCTTGGAAGCCAAGAACACAACCAACAAAGTGATGAAATAATGAGCATTTTGAAACATTATAATTCTTTGCAGTGCTTAAATTTTGCAAGCATGCAGGTGTAATATGCAATCAGTTTGGCATTCTTGGCATCGTAAGCTTTTTTCCTACGTCTTTTCTACCACAAAATACTCGCTCCTTTCGTTAACAATCGTGTGCCTCTCGCAACATTCAAATCATGAAAAACACACAAATCAAACCTGTGTCCTGGGCACACAATACCAAAGTAATTGGACAGTGTAGATATTGGTTCGTTTAGAAAATAGCAGCTTCGATGTCAGGTTTAAACATGCTCTTAAGTTATGGTTTTTGTGTCCACTTTTCCTGCCAAAATGTTTGTAGCATCGGTTTTCTCCCACATCCACACGCGTCACATCTGCTGCCGGAATGGCAAGTTATTTTTCCCGGCAAAATTTGCAAACGCTGGGAAGAGCACATGTCTCCCAAAAGTGAGTCCCTACCCTATGACATGTACTGTGACATTGCAGCGAACAATATAAGCATAGAAACTAACTTACAACTTAAATCCGCGGGCCTCCGGCACCATCCATCTGCAAAGCTGAGGGGCACGAATGGCTGCTTCACGAGCCCGTGTGGCGTCAGTTTTGCAGAAGTAAAATATTATCCGTTGCCGACCATGCTCAGAACATTATTCAAGGTTCTCTTACTTCGCCAATAATTTTCCGGGAAAATTATCTATGTTTGGAGCACCGAACGTGATCCCGGATAATTTTCCGTGATCCCGAAAAATTATCCAAGATTATCTGACGGGCAAAAGCATCCGAAGTATGTACAAGCAGAATACTAAAAGTGAGAGCTTTACCTTGCACGATTTAGAGGTCTTATTAACTCTGGTCTAGTGTCGTGTTACTGCCTGAGTGTTTTGGAACTATTCAGCAAGGTTCCAAGTTCCAAATATTGTAAAAACATGCGTTCGCTGCGATACTCGGCCACGACGCGTTATTGGAAACTAAAAACATTCCGGTCAAATATTAGCACCCAGAAACTCGACAAATTTACCAGTCGCTACAAGCCTTCCACACAATTTTTAAAATGTGCCGACCGAAAATGTACCGAAATTTTCACTTTCAGTTGCATCAAATGCAAACAATTTGTTAAAAAATACCAGTCTTCTCGAAATCCTTCCCAACAGGTCAAAATTTCGAGTTAAAGTAGCTACCTTGTGGAAGCAGTCTTATTTGACTCCCTACTCATCACTTAGAAAGTGATGCATTTCATTTGCCCTGTTTTTTCAACGTGTGTGTTCCGTATTGTCTGCAGTAAATATTCTTATCAATGCGTCATGGTTTGATCGCGCACCGTAACTTGCATATCACTGATCGAGAGCTAGTTGACCGCCCTTGTGTCTGGAAATCGCGCCAACGAGCGCCAGATATGAATAAGATGACAATCATGTTTTTCTTAGCCTTGATTGTCGCATGGCTTATGGAGTGACAAAATTTAGATGGCGTTATTATGACGTCACGAATGCCATGGTGATTTTAAAATTCTCCCCCAAACATAGCTTCCCTACTGTCACGGTCGCGTAGCTCAGAAGCTGCTGCTACTCCCAGGATAGTGCACGGTCGATGGTCACTCCCAGCATCTTCACTGACGGCGAGGGAATAATAGCAGGTTGGGCATATTAAGATGCAAGGATGACATTTTTGATGGTCTGGGTGCGTGCCAACCAGAAGAAGGATGGTCTTGGTGGGAGTCATCTACAGAGAAATGACAGTGAATGAGCTTGGAGGGCAAGGATGGTTTCCTCTTGAAGAGATTTTAGGGTGGACAGGTGACTGGGGTAGGCGGAGTCGAGGAGCTGGGTATCGTCGGCGTTGGAAACCAGACGCCCGTGAGACAGGCAGGATAGAAGATTGCTCGTGAAGATGCCGAGGAGGATTGGGCGCACCAGGGACACCTGTGGGACACCATGGGGCAGTGGAAGGGATAGTGAACCACCGTTCACTCCCTGCCGCCGTCAACGAAAATAACTTTTATACCACCGAGCATCGATGGTTTACCACTGCAGGGTGGTCAGCAGAACGCCGTGGTCAACGCTGTCGAAAGCTCAACCTAGTTCTATGGCGGTGACGGCGACGACATGTCCAGATTCAATCCGACACGTCACCCACTCCGCGGCGTCGAGTACGGCGTCCTCCGTCGAGTGGCACGGCCTATAGGCATATTACGGGAGAGGAAAGAGGCCGTGGACATCAAGATACGCCAACTGCTGTCGGACAACCTTTCGCATGTTTTCGTCAGCACAGATAAAAAATAATATGGGCCTAAAATTGCTGGCAACGTCGCGTGCACTGTACTTGTGAAGGGGAAGAACTGAAGCTAGCTTCCACGCACAGGGAAAAACGCGGGTGAAGGTGGAAAAATTGACTAGATAAAGCAAGTGAGTTCCTATGACATCGAAATAGTTTTTTTTAGCGCAAGCAGCGGCACACCATCGACTCCAACAGTCCTAGATGAAGGCAATGCACTCAAGCCTTCCAAAGCTCGGGTGAGGTTTTACACAGCGTGTAAAACTAGCCTGGCTGTGCTTAAGCACGGTGGTCTCGGAGACAACGGCAGGACGTCGTGGCTGACCGCCCTCAGCTCAGCCGCGATTTTTGGACTAACTGAGTTGAAGTAACGTTTAAAATCGTCGGCCATTTCAGCAGGATCTACCTCCTCGTCACAATCTCCCCCCCCCCCCCCCCTCCATCTAACAGGTCTGAGTCCAAACTCACGGACAGTCCGCCAGAAACCAGCCCGGTCGGATAGCATACTGGCGCACAGAAATTCACGAGCCCCGCAATCCTTAACACGGTTCCGCAGACGCCGATGTACTGCGCGGTCGGTCTCCGCACCGTACCTGTGCCATCACCGGTAAGCGTGGTTGCGCTCCAACATCACACACAGCAGATCAGGATTATCCGCAATCCAGGGGCAGCGTGGACGGCGGGGTGTCACTGTTATCAGGGGACAGTGCACATCAATGTCACCTGACCAGACTCACATGAACTTCTCCAGCTTCCCCGTGACACCCACGGGCCGATTCAACAGGGCCCAGTATGCCGGTAGCAAATGTAGACTGAGGATTGTAAGGAATTTTCATGTACATCGTTTGGTATTCCTTGTTTCTACGAAGTCGCTTCCATTGACGAGATATTTCAAGTGTTTCAGTTTTTCGGCATTAAGTTACATTGTTTGCTTGAAAACGGCGTTAAGCAATAACTTTTGCAGCCTGGATGTCATTATTTTCAGCGAGCTTCTAAAAAATAATGTCAAAGTATCACGAGTGCAGGCGTTTATTGCTGTTATCAACTTCAGACCCATGCCAAAGCGCTCATCGCTCTGTTTCAAACGCCCGGTCGTCAACCTTTACATTCTCTATCCTTCCAGTCATCGATAT